AGAAAGGGGGAAAAGGGTAACACGGCAGTGGAGAAACCTGACAAACACTACCTCAGCCAGGTGATCAAGTCATGTTCATAGTATGTACCCTGGATATCATGGGAAGAGAATGGCACATCGCCTCTGTGGTCTTCCTCCCAAAAACCCATAACCCCAGTCTAATCATGAGTAAACATCAGAGAAATCCCAACTGAGGGACAGTCTACAAAATATCTGACCAACACTCCCCAAAACTGTCAAGGTCATTAGAAACAAGCAAAATCTGAGAAACTGTCACAGTCAAGAGAAATCTATGGGAACATGATGACTAAATGTAATGTGGTATCCTGGAAGGAATTCTAGACAGAAAAAGGACATTAGGGAAAAGCTAAGGAAACCTGAATCAAGAATGGATTTTATTAATAGTAACATATTAATATTGGTTCATTAATTGTAACAAGTGCACTACACTCATGTTAACAAAAGAGGACACTGGCTGGGGGGTATACGGGAACTCTCTGTGCGTCTTCACGACTTTTCTGTAAATCTAAAACTGTTAATTTTTTTAAAAGGTCTAAAATTTCAAAAAGATACTCAGTGAAAAATTCTCCCTTCCACCCTTGATCAGCTGCTCAGTCTTCTTCCCCCCCCCCAAAAACGCTGTATTTCTTTCCAGGAAGGTTCCAGTGAGGCAGCATGGTTTGTTGTTAAAGAGTCTGGCCTCCACAACTGAATGGCCAGCTGTCAGTCATGATCTCTGCCAGTTTCTAGCTGTGTGACCCTGGACAATTCCTTACCCTCTCTGTGCCCTATGTCCTCAAAGATAAAATCCTCATAGGATTACTGGGAGTGTTAAATGTATTAATGCATATAGTAAGCACATTGGAAGTGGTTGCTTTTATTATTACAAATAAACAAGCCACAAATATGTTCAGAAAAATATCCAAAACTTGTAAGTAAGGCACAGAAAAAAATTACTAAATGCCCTTTCCAAAGTATTTTAGATCACTGGCTAATAACCCCACCTATGGGTCATCTAGGGGAAGTAACTTTGTTTGATTTACTATTTACTATTGATTAATGCCTTGACTCTATAAAGTTAAGAGGTTAATCTGTAGAAGATTGATAGCAAATTGCTTTTGTCTGATAGGAAAAAAAATTATGATTTTATTGCCAGGTAGGAATTAATCTTTGTGTATCTAACTTTGCAGTCTTATTCGAGCATTCTTTTTTCCCCTGAATGTCAATAATAGTCCTTCTATTTCTTCCTCTGATCCATCCTACTGGGTTACTCATTAAGCAGCTAAATTAATCTTGATACTCACTACATATTTCTATCAGTCAAGTTCATCTTGGTGCAAATTTTACTTTGACAAATAGCAGCATGCCATACACACTGTTCTACACCTTTGTTTTTTTTCACTTAATATATTTTGAACTTGGTTTCATATCATAACATAAAAAGCTTCCTTATGCTCATTTTGCCACTGTATAGAATACATCACATGGGTGTGCAATATTTACATTCAAAATCAATTTAGCCAATCCCCTATTGATGGACACTTAGGTTGTTTCCACTCTTATTCCTGCAGACAATGCTGTATGAATAACCTTGTACACAGGTTGAGAATAGAGTCACTTAGACAGAGGTGGATGGGAAGGTAGAAGGGGCTCTACAGGACAAAGGAGCCTAAGGGAGGGGCCTGATTACCTGCTCCCAGCCCACCCTAGCTCATCTTCCCCTGGCTCTGTGCCAATCCAGCCTCCTCCTGCCTCCTCCTGCCCATCCTGAGCTCCTGGTATCTCCAGAGAGGAAGGGCCAGCCTTCGATTCCCTGAAGACCTGGGCTCTGGCTTCCACTGCATGAAAGATGAGGGGGCCTTGGAGAGGAGGATCTTGGGGGGTTGGGGCCCGGGGCCGGTACTATCCCTGGGCTGGAGCCACTGAGGGCACATGCTCAACACACCCTGAGGGCCCTGGTAGGGGACAAAGACCAGAGGCCCAGGGATTTCCTGTGGGAGTTGGCGTCCTGGGGGAGGGGGTGGGGCAGTGCCTAGCAGCTCTGGCACAGACTTGCTTCGGGTGCCCAATGCAGGTGGCTGGTCAGGGCACAGGGTGTGGCAGGCAGTAGTGAGGAAGGGACTGGCCAGGCTGGTTGTGATGGTCACAAGGTGGTCCAGGACACCCGCCTCCTGAGGAGACTGGACAAAGGGGAGGCTCAAGGTGGCCTGCAGTCGCTCAAGGAGAGATGGGGGGCCCTGAGCTTGGGCCTGGGCCACGAGCCCGGGCAAGGCGGGCCACTCAGGCTGATAACGCTGGCTGAGCTGCTCCACTTGGGGCCGCCGCAGCAGCTGCCGGATCCTTTGCACTGTGTCAAAGCTGTTGGTCAGAAATGCCCACCCCAGGGCAGTCTTGCCCTGGACAGGATCCACCGCAGTCAGGTCAGCATCTGGATGGGGGGGCCACAGGGGTGACATGGGATGGGACAGGGAATGGTGACTTGCAGAAGGGCAGATTCTTTAGCAGCAGGACTACTTTAGGTTAGATTCAAAACCACAGAGTCCCATCCTGTTGCAGCTGGAATCTAGGAGCCCTCAGTGACTGCAGCCCAGGGACAGTACCAGTCCCAGGCCCCAACCTCTGGTTTATGATTGATGAGGAAATTGGAGTCCAGAGAGGGAAAAAGACTTCAGAGAGGCCGACTGCAGGTCTCCAAATCTGGAGCAGAATAGAGGCCTCCTGAACCAAGGAACTGACCAGAGGGGCTGTGTGTGAGTTACCCAGGATGGGGTGGGGGGTGGCCCGAGCTGCACCCTCTGGGGCAGGTGGAGGGGGGCCCTGCTGGTTCCCACTCCTGGTTTTTCTCTTCATCACCATAGCCCCCTAATCCTGGTGGGGGTGGCAGTCACTCTGAGACAAAATAGGGGGTGTGGAGCTTCCTCTCTTTTCACCCCAAACCCAGTCTGATGGGATGGGAAATGGAAAAGCTGGAGGCTGGGGTCCTCTAGAGTGACCATCACAGGGCAGCACCCCCTCAGGGAGTAATGAGGGACCTAGATGCTACAGGCAGTGTGGACTTCACCCCAGAACAACTCCGTATGGCCACACGTCTCAACTACACATCACTGCATCCCTGGCACCCTTGTCAAGGGTTGGAAAGCAGCCCAGAGAAGGCATCACCCTCACTACACTGGTGAGGCCCAGAGAAGGAAACCGTTTGCCCAGGGTCACTGAGCTGGTGGCAGAGCCAGGACAAGAACCTAAGAGTTTGGTTCCAGATACAAGCCTTTTTTGCATTAGTTTCTCAGCTGGTCTAGGTTATCCATCCTCCCACGCTTTCTTTTCTGGGACCGTCATTCACAGTGTAAATACAGCTATCAACTTTGTTGCTTGTGAGAAGCCCCAGCACACTTCCCTCCTCCAGATCAGCCTAGATTAATGCTCCGTCTCCACCTCTCTCCTCACTGCAACTACCATAGCTGACTTAGTGTCTGGTGGAGGGGCATGGTGGAGGAACTGCAGGCCACGCATCCTAGTCCAGGCCCCAAGCACCTGCCATGAGGAGGGCAGCCACGCATTCCGAGCGGTCCCGCATGGCAGCCTTCATCAGCGCCGTTAGTCCCCGCTGGTCCCGGCGCTCCAGGTCCAGGCCCGCGTAGTAGTTGATCAGAAGACTCACCAGAGGCACATGGCCTGCAAGGCACGAAAGGCAGGGCTTGGTTACTCAGGAAAGGAATGATGAAGCCACAAACCCACCCTCCACCCAACATGGCCGTGTCTGGGGAAGGAGAACGTGGGTGCAAAGAGTGTGGGGCTGTGGTTGGGTCTGGAGGAGGGTAAAGGCAGAGGGTGGGGTCAGCAGCCTCACACTTGCTTGGGCAGCCAGCATGAGGGCTGTGTCCCCTTCTTCATCCTGCTGGTTCACATCCAGGAAAGGACAGCGGCTGAGTAGGGCCACCACACTCTGGAAGCCTTGGTAGCACACAACCATGAGGCCTGTCTGGGGGAGGGGCAGCTCAGCTCCTGTGTTTTCCTCCAGGAGCTCCATGGGGGCCATGTGCCCTCTAAACCCACATCTGTCCCAGAGATGCCCCAGCCCCTGTGAAACCCCAATCCCACCCTCTCCCTTCCTATTGAGGACGCAGGTAGTGGGTGTCAACCTGAAACTCTCAGGAGGAGTGTGGTGTGGTGAGGACACAGAGGTGGCCCTGCTGCCCCAAGAAGCGCCCAGGGTAGCTCACCCCCCCATTGCCGTCCACCTGGGAGGCCTCCTCTGGGGAGACTCCATCGTCCAGCATGGCTTGGAGCTGGGCAGGGTCATTGCGGACACAGGCCCAGTACAGGGCCCCCAGCGTGCAGCCTGGGGCAGGGGTCTCATTGTCAGGGCAGGACAAAGCCTCAGATGTGTCCAGGCCTCCCTTCTGCAATGGCAGCTCCTCCTCTCCCATCCTGGGGACGAGAAGTTGGCCTCTGTAACACAGAATGAGGGCACCACTGTCTCTCTGGATCCCAAGACAAGTCCCAGCCTCTGCAAATCGCCCACCTTGCCCTGGGGAGAGCCTCCTTCCGCCAGGGTGTCCTGTCCCATCCACCTGGGAGAGAGGACAAGGCCCAGGCAAGGAGGCTGAGTGACAAGAGCCCTAAGAAGACAGAATTCATTCACTGTAAGTGAGGAACCTAGTGAGGTCCAAGGAGGCAGGGGAGGGTCTTCTCTTTCCCAGGGGACCTTACCCGGGGTTGGGAGGATCCCTAGGAAGTGGTCATTGCTGGGGCCCAGCCTGGAGCCCACAGGATCCCCCAGACTCCTGGCAGCACACTCCCCAGGTCTCTGGAGCGTCTCGAGGGGGACTATCCCGCCCCAGGAAGCAACGCAGGTAACAGATGGCTGCCTCAAACACCTCGGGGCTGAGCTGGATCAAGCCGGGTCAGTTGGCGATGGGGGCCGGGCCAGGGTAGGTGCTCTCTGAGCGGAGCCAACCAAGACCCGCCCCAGATCCTGCCCAGAGTGGGCGGGGCCGAGTCAGGGCGGCTCCTCCCCCGCGGAGGCGACTCTAAGAGAAAGACCCTCCTCCCCACCCACGCACTCACCTTCCGCCTTCTGGACAGACCGACTTCCCCAGAAACAGGCCCTTCGAAGTAGGAGGGGTTCCGAGGTTTCCGAACTTAGCCCTTCCTCCTCTGGTGGAGCTGGCTTGGTGACGGGGTGGTGGCGGGAGAGGGTGCGAGGGCAGACATCTCACTAAACGGGGGCTGGGACTGGGGAGTGGGAGTTCCAGGGGTCTCCTGGACCTATTTTTTTTGAGGTTTTGGGGAAATTAAAACATAAAGAACTACTTTAATTAGGGGTAAAAACGTTATATTAAGTTTAACGGATTAGTTTTGGTGTGATAAATTAGATGTGAAATACTAAAATTGTATCAATATTAAAATTAATTTGATTATTTAAATTAAACCATGTATTTATACTTGTTAAATTAATAATAAATTCTTACAATAATAAACTATTAAATTAATATTAAATATTAAATTTAATGAATTGGTGTTGGATCTCTGGTGTACAAAATGGAGCCCATCATATTCTTCTGTTTATATCACGATGTCTCTCTTGTTTTCTTTTACTTTATTTGGTTTATCTCATTCTTCTCTGATCCCCACAGCCCATGCTCCTCCTTTGCTTTACCAG